CTTCGGGCCCAGCCAGCAGCAACCCCATCTGCAGGCCGTAGCTGAGCGAGGTCTCACATCCCGTTCTCGGCACCACCCCCCACACACAGAAAAGGGAGGTCACGCGGAGGATGGGAGTTGCAGGGGCCTAATGACCTCACAAACTCCCTCCCCCTTGAGCTCCACCTTGAGCCTTGGAGGCAGGTCAGTCGGCCCTAGGGGCACAGGTGCCTTTTGAGCAGGCGGATTGGGGGTGTCCCTCCCGCAGAAATGTTCCAAAGAGGAATTTCCAGCGGACCTGAATTTCTCAGCAGCTGGCCCGAGGCAGAGGCTGAGATTGAACTCCCTTTCAAGGGTATCCCCTGCGATCCAGGGACCCAGATTCTTACACGCTGAGTGAAACTGGAGGGGAGATGTCTTCCGCCGCTTCTTTAACGGCCTTCTCGGTTGGTCCCTCCCTTTGTCAAGGTCGTCCTAAGACAGAAGCTAGAAAGGTCCGCAGAAGGTAGACGCGCCCTGGCGAGACAGCTCACATCCACCTGGTGAACTGCCAAGCCTCCCTGCTGCCTTCTGTCCCCCCACCCTCACCTCCAAGGTGTTTGGGGGATTATTCCTGGGCGGAGGCGTGCTATACCGCCCCCCCCATCTCTGCTGCTCTGAGCCCACCTCCTCAACAAACTAACCCTCAGATGGGCTCAGGGTGAAATCAAACGTAGGTGCTGTTCACACAGAACAGCAGGAATGGGGGGGGCGGCGGTAAGAGGAGGAGAAGGCAGCCTGGGAGCCGGGGGTCCTGGGATTGAGCTCCAGCTGCACCACCTGTTAACTGTGCGACCCAGGACTCTGATCCTCAGACTCTGAGGATCTGAGAACTGCATAAAGTAGCACAACGGGGATGAGCCTAGCCCTGGCCCTGGCACGCAGCCGGCTGTCAGGGGACGTTTCCTGAACCCGTGCTGTCATTCCTTGAGTCTAGATGCTATCCCTTCAGTATGAAGGCTTGGAACGGCAGGCACGGTGACAGGGCAGCCACGTCTGCCGCCACGTGGCTGTGGGGGTGGGGGTCCAAGGCAAGCCATCGCTCCCTGGGCCTCAGTCATTTCTTTACTAAAATTCGGGGTTTAGACTGAGCTGTCAGGAATGGAAAACCTGTGAAACACATACCATCACTCACATAGTCCGCAGCAGTGACAGGCACGAGCGGCCCATCGCAGCACGGCCGCCTGTCGATTCCAGCCAGGTGCAGTTGCGGAATCCCCGAACGGCCAGCGCCACCGAGAGAGAGCTGGAACCACAACTCTTCCGCACCTGCATTTTAACGCTTTGTGGTTCGGGGGGCCCAGCCGGGTGACCTGGGGCCTCAGTTTCCTCCTTGGTAAAAACGGCCACACCCAGCAAGGTTGGGAGAATTAAGATAACGTGTTCAAACTGGACTGCCAGAAGTCCAGCTCCAGAAGGGCTCATTTTCTGCCACCAGCGCCAGAGACTGGGCAGGGAGCTCTTCCCCCAGCCACAGGGGCCTGCCTCCCACAGACCCTCAGGTAAAACAGTGTGGCCCAGTGGAAAAAGCTTGCAACTGGTGACCTCTGTCAAGCCGTCACAGCTTTCTGAGCCTCTGTTTCCCCTGAGAAAAATGGGCAGATCCTTCTTTTACGCAGTGGGCATAAGGATTAAACAAGGTAATCGGACGAAGTGCCAGAAGACTGATTGGCTCGGTCAATGGAAACAAATGAACTTCTTTAATCTAACCCCATCAAGCCTCCCGGCTTTGGCGCTGGGAACGCAGACGGGTAGGAATTGCTGGGAGCTCCTCCCGGGCGAGTGTGGCTTGTTTGTTTGTTTGTTTGTTTGTTTATTTTTAATGTTTATTTATTATTGAGAGACAGAGCATGAGCAGGGGAGGGGCAGAGAGAGGGGAGACACAGAATCGGAAGCAGGCTCCAGGCTCTGAGCTGTCCGCACAGAGCCCGACGCGGGGCTTGAACCCACAAACCGCGAGATCATGACCTGAGCCGAAGTCGACGCTTAACCGACTGAGCCACCCGGGCGCCCCACCGAGTGTGGCTTTCTTACCAAGTCCTCGATGAAGCCCACTGTCCCTCCCCCACGTTCACCAGTGATGGTAGATACGTAGGAGTCTCCATCCGTTGCCCATGGAGGAAGCCATGGCCCCAGGAAAGTGTGAATCCTGTTTATGGGAGATGGCCACCCACCACCAGACCCTGGGGCCTCACTGCTCCTCCCTCTGCCCTTCCCTCCCAGCCCTCGCGCCTCCCTGGGTCCTGCCCCTGGCCCCAGCCTGCTGGCCTCCCTGGCCCTCAGAACCGGGCCAACCTGATACGGGCCCCAGAGGCTGCCCTCACGGAGGTGGGATGGGATCCCCGACTCAACTCCTTACCCAACTCACATGGTGGCTCTGGGGCCTCCGAGGCCTCCTCTGGGAAATGAGATTGATAGGAGTGACGTCCACAGGTCCTCCAGCTCTGATATTCGTAACTGAATCTTAGCGTCAAAGAGCCTGGAGCAGAGCGGTTCTATTCCACTCTTGCCCTCGCCGAAGACAGCAGCTGAAAACATTCTGCAGAGTGACCGTCCTGCCTTCCTCCCCGTGTTCCTCCCGCCCCCCGTGGGTGCTGTCCAACTACCTCCTCTGGCCCCCAGCTGCTGCACCTGACCGCGAGGCGGGGCTGGCTTTAGACTGACTCTCAAACTGTCACAAATCCCCCAAACGCACCCTTGGCGCATGCTGTCCTCTGCCCGAAACACCTTTCCTGTCTTGTTTCTTGGTGTACCCTTGCTCTTCCCCCAAGACCCAGCCCCAAGGCCCCCTCCTCCGGGAAGCCCTCCTTTTCTTCCCTTGCCAGGCAGCCAGTCTCAGGCTTCTCTGGCCACTTTCGTCCCACTGACTGGCAATGATAAGGGACGCGGAATGGACAAAGCAGACAGGCAGGTGGATAGGTACCAGGTACCTAGGGGAGGAAAGGGCAACTGGCCCTGGGAGGGAGCCCATGCTTACAGATGCTATTCAAGTAGCTGAGAAATAATTACTCCCGGCAGCCCTTGGGCAACAAGGACACAGCTTGCTTATTACAAAATATCCTTTATTGATAAAATAGCTCAGACTTAAAAAAAAAAATACCTGCATATCACAACAAGGGGGCCACAGGCAATAATTGCAGGAGTCTCCCGGGACACACGCAAGACCAGTCAGCAGATGTCACAAGTCAGCCACTCCCCTGGGCCCAGCCTCCCCAGCCTCCCCCCAAGGCAATGCCCTGGCCTCACAATGAGACTGTAAGAAGGAGCTAGACAGCCCCTCTCCCCAGAAAGGACTCTCTTTGGTCTCCTCCATTCTCTCCACCCCAGAAAGCTCTCCAAATCCGGCCGGGCCCCTCAGAGTGCCAACAGTGCCTTGGCTGCTCAGCCCTACCCCCCATGCTAGATGCCCGCTGGCTTAATGCTGAAGCCAGGAGCTCCTTGGAGAAGACTGGAAAACATCCTTCCAATGCTCCCAAGTCTTCTGGGTGCTAGGTCCTGGGGTTGGGGAGAGAACCAGGAGAGGAGAGGCCCCTGGAGCCTCATCAGTGGGGTGAAGCAACATGGCTGGGTCAGAGATGGCCAGCCGGCCCCCACCCAAGGTAGCATCAGTTACACATCACAGGGACCCACGTGGGGCTTGGAGAACCGCCTGGGCGCTCTGGTGGAAGGCTCCTGAAGGAGTCCACAGGGCCCTCACTCGCCCGTTCCAGCCCCAGCGCCTGCCTGGGGGCCCTGTCACCCACCACAGACTCTCATCTCAGATTGTTCTGATGGGGTGGGTATTTTGGGCCATCTTGGGGAAACAATTTGCCTGCTTGATGACAAAAGACTTGTCCCCCGTTAGGGGGGAGGGGGGCCCAGGCCACCGAAAACCCTCTCGGCGTCGCGGGTGAAATGTCGAGGAGCTGTCATGCAGCATAACAACTAAACCCTTGCAGGCACAAGAACGTGTTCTCGAAGAAATCCTTTAAGTGAAGTAGTTGGTTCTCTCTACCATTCCCCACTTCCAGTTTGGGGTAAGAATTCCCGCACCCCAGGCGCAGAACAAAAAGTCTACAGGAAGACAGGTGGTGGTAAAGACAGAGAAAGGGGATTTTTATATCTCCAAATAATCATATTTTCTGGTTCTCTAGTGCGTTCCCCCACGGAGCTCAAAGCTTTCCGCAAAGCCTTTCATCTCCCTGCAGCAAGTAGGCAGCAAGCCATTGTCGCCAGGTTTTTGCAGGGGGTGAATGCTAGTGATCAGGGATCTCCCGTCGAGGCAGAGGCCAGACCTCCAGACCACCCCACCAAGGCGAGGCCTCTGCTGGCACACACCCGCCTGCCAGAGGGCTGCCAGGTAAGGAAAACGATTCCAGAGAAGGTTCTGGCCTTTAAAGGAGCTACAAATCTAAAGGTAGGGGGAGAGGGAAGAAGGACCAGAAACAGGGCCAGGCCGTTAACTCCCCACCCAGTGCCTGATGGGGACCATGGGCGCCCAACGTGGATCCCTCGTTTCTGCCTCTTCCTCCTCAGCAGCGGGTCCTCCTGGGAAAAGTGGAAGGCTGGCTTCCTGCTCTTTACCCGGGGAAGATGAGAAACAAAAACGCCACAAGCAAGTGACCAGCCAGGGAACAAAGGGTCCTTAAGGAAGGAAAGCCCACCCATGGGCTTGCAGGGGTCTGGGGCACTGGGAGAGAAGTGCTCTATCTGGCCCAGCCTTGGCTATGTTCAGGAAGGTCCAAGCCTCATCCGTGGGCCTGTGTTCACGGGGGTAGAGAAGATGTCCCCCCACAGCCAAGCCAGCAATCGGAGGCCTCAGCTGGACCCCTGTGAACAGCACCCCGGCCCCTGCCCCTCCCAGGGGGCTCCCAAGATGAAGCCTGCAGGACCCAGGCAGGGACCAGAAAGCCCCAGGGAGGTGGCCACATAAAATAGGGCAAGAATCAGAGTGGCCCTGGTGCCGCCTGGCACCAACCCCACACGGGTGGCGGGCAGGTGGCTCACCATGCCGTCTGGGTCCACTGGCGGCAAAGGATCCTTCGGAAGGCACGGCGAAAGTCCTGGTTAAAGATGGTATAGATGACGGGGTTCAGCGAGCTGTTGCAGTAGCCGATCCAGAAGAAGAACTGGAAGAGGCCATGGGGCACCTTGCAGTGCTGTGGGCAGATGGCACCCAGGCTGTAGCTGAAGAAGAAGGGGAACCAGCAGAGCACAAAAACGCCGATGACCACGGCCAGCACAAAGGTGAACCGCTTCTCCCGAGTCAGCTGCGCCCGCCGCCGCCACCACTGCCCGCTCGAGGTGCCCACGCCCCTGCCCAGGAGCACCTGGCCACGTAGTGTTGCCAGCACCCGGGACCCCTGTGGCTGCTGCAGGGGTGGGCTACAGGCGGAGGCAGGAGATGCTGGCAAGGCCTGAGGCTCACACTCTTCCTCCTCCTCCTCAGCTTCTTCCTCTGGAGATGCCCCACAAACACCTTCCTTCCGACCCTGGCCTGAGTTGGGAAGGGCCGACCAGCTGGGTGGCAAGGCAGGGGTCGCAGGATCTTCAGGGGTCTCCCCCTCCTCCTTCTCCCCAGTGGGCTCGGAGTGACCATTGGCCTCTCCAGAAGCAGCCAGAGAGGCCAGGGTTGGCATTTTGGTTGAAGTTCCAGTAGGGACGGGGCGGGGCTGCTTAGACTCACCCTCCCTAGGGCGGCCCTTGGCCCTGGGACCTCTGCGGTGGCTGCGCTTGGCGATCAGGTAGATGCGCAGGTAGACCAGGATCATGATGAGGCAGGGTGCAAAGAAAGATCCGATGCTAGAGGCCAGGATGTACCAGGCCTCTTGGTTAAGTTTGCACTGCGGGCGCCCACGAGGCTGGGGCCCCTGGTCGCCCTTGTAGATAAGCGGCGGCAGGGAGATGACAGCTGCGATGAGCCACACGGTGAGGATGATGCACTTGATGCGGCGTGGGGTGCGCTTGGAGTTGTACTCCAGTGCCCGACTCACGGCCCAGTACCTGTCCAGGCTGATGGCGCACAGGTGCACGATGGACGAGGTACAGAAGAGCACGTCGAGCGCCAAGTACACCTCACACCACGTGCGCCGGAAGTACCAGTAGCCCAGCAGCTCGTTGGCCAGCGAGAAAGGGATGATGAGCGTGGCCACCAGGATGTCGGCGGCGGCCAGCGACACTAGGAACAGGTTCTGCGGGGCGCGCAGCGAGCGACTCGTCAACACAGCCAAGATGACCAGCGCGTTGCCAAAGATGGTGAAAAGGATGAGGAACGTGATGACCGCCGCGATGGCCGCGGTGGCCTGCACCGAGTAGGGCTCCTGGTGGTCCATGACGGGGCGGGATGCGGCCAGAGGGGTCGCTGCTCGCCCAGAGCGTGCTCAGCCGGAGACGGTACTGTCCTACGCAGCTAGTCTAGAAGGGGGGATCGACCCCCTGGCGGCGCACAAGGCGCTGGAGCCCCATGGCCAGGCCGAACCCGGCCAAGGAGACGGAGGGATGCCTGGGGCCAGCCACCGCCCTCCTACATCCTCTTCCACCGACACCCGGCGTCCCTGCCGTCCTCTCCGGAGAAGTTTTCCAAGTTGTCCCGCTACCGTCCCCGCCCCGCCCGGGACCGGGGGAAAGTTGCTCCCTCCCGCTACGAAGCTGCTGGACGCACGCTGGGACCCGGGACCCGGCAGGCCCGGCGTTGGGGGGAAGGGGGGCGCGCCACCGGTTCTCGGAGGAGGCGCAGCAGCCGAGGCGCCCGTTCCGCTGGCTGGCTCTGGCCGGGAGCCGCGCCTGCAAGCAGTCCGCCGCGGCAGGGGAATGGGAGGAGAGCGAGCGCGCCGGAGGAGGGAGGAGACGGGAGGCGGGAGTAGGAGGAGGGGAGGGAGGCGGGGCGGGCGGCAGACCACGGATGGGTGGAAGGTGCGCCTAGCGGGAGGACCGGCCGGCAGCAGCCCGCCCTCCTCGAGGGCCTCCGCCCTGGCGCTCCTACCCCTTTTCCTCCTGGCCTCCGCGCCACGGAAGGCCAGAGATCCGCGTCTGGGGTCTTCGGGACTCCGGGAAGGACGTTTGCAGAAGTGGAAGGATGGGTGCGCACGGGGTGCTGGGACCCGGGAGGGACCTCTCTTCCTGCAGACCGGGTCCGAGCACCAGGATCTAGGACGGTGGGCGCCAGCTGATCTCTCCCCGCGCCGCCCAGGAGCCCCAAGGAGAGGGTGGGTGGGTGGGTGGGTGGATTGGGGCCACCGGAACATAATGAACCACCCCCTCCTACCCGGTGCCCGCGAAGGAAGCCGAGTAGGAGTTGGGGGAGCGGGAAGACTGCCTTGGAACCCCTTCCCCAAATGCTCTCTCTCCCGGAGCGGATTCCGTCGGGCTTGCGGAGCCCAGGGAGGCGCGCGTGGCAGGTTGCGAGCGCCCCCTGCCGCCGCCCGCGTGTGGCGATAGTCCGCGGCCAGCCGGGAGACCCGCGTCCTCGCCGCGTTCTGGGGGGCGCACGGAAAAGGCTCCCAAGGTCGGTGGGGCAAGCCAGTGCTCCAAGATTTAGGACTTCAGTGTTTCTGTTTCCCCGCAGCTGCCTCGGTTTCCTCCACTAAGGGCAAAGAGGTAAGAGGAAAACTGGCTTGGACTCCACTCTCAGCAGCAGCAATGGAGACTCAGGCAAGGGTGGGGTCTTCTTAACACAGCTCAGAGAAAAAGTAGGTGTCAGGGGAAGCTATGAAGGGAGAAGCATCCCTTTGTGTTTTGACACCACCCCCCTCCATTCCTGCACCCCCCACATATCTGCTGTACACCCTCTTGGAGTGGCTGTGGAAGGAGCCCCGTCTGGCACCCTCACCCTACTCACTCTCCCTGTGGCTGCTGCCACCAGCGTCAGGCTGGGCAGCCTCAAGGGCACATTTTTTCACCGCTTCTGGAGCCCCTGACGCTATAACCCCAGACTAGAGCCAGGCCCCATATTTATAGCCCACAGCTCTGCATGACATCCTCTGTATAAATAAGCATCGAGCCACTGCTGAAAGTGGGCCTCCTCCAGAGGACCAGGCCTCGAGACAGCACGCATACTGCACCTCCCTTCCTGACTGTTCCATCTTCACGGGACCAGGGAATGACCGCTCAGTGCCCACAGACAATATCTCACCCCTACCCAGGCTCACACGGCAGAGGGTGGCGGGGTTCCTCCGTACAAGTCCGCCCCTGCCTCCTGCCATTCTACTCAGCTGTTTTCTTAGGTGGATCGCCCGACAGCCTGATGGTGGGAGAGGGCAGCCAGCCTGTCTCACCTCCTCCAGAGACAGGTTTTTATGGACACATCCCTCCCACCGGCTGGGCTAGGCTGATAGGCCTGGGCCCTGAGGTTGCCAGGGATGGAGAAGCCTCGGTAGCCCCTTCCCTGAGGGAGGACTGAGGGGTGGCCACCGGAACTTGGAAAGCAGCCACTTAGGTAGTTTCCTGCCTTGTCTCCGAGACTCCCTGTCCCAGGGGCGGAGGGGGCTGAGGAGTCTGAGCGTTGTGGTGGCCCATAGGGACATTAAGAGGGACCACTTTTTCATTCTCTCCAACCATACTCAGACTGGG